ATGGTGCAGAGGCGGAGGCTTAGTGTCCCACCAGTGACACTATACAGCATATCATAATCATGTATATAAAAAAGATAAACACGGAGAGTCTCAAAAATCCTTTTGTAACAAATTCATCAACATAATTTTAGAGCTAGTGTTTGAATGATTCTTTAGCATAATGTCTAAAATGATGACAAAACAGCAAAAAAAAATGCTAAACTCATGCGGGCATTTCTTTATTCGTTGCTTTTTACTGAACTAGTCTGCAGTAACAAAAATAAGAGACTCATTAGAAACAAACAGATGGCTCTGTAACTCAGGGTTATATATATAAAAAAAGTCACCAACACAAAATGCATACATTCCTGATAAGTCCCATCTCACACTCAATATACTACAATTATTATGGTATAAATACAGCACTACAACATACAAAAGAGAGAAATCGAGTTCTCCTTTAAGGGCTTATGCTGTCTCTGTCGCCATCTTGTGGATAGACAACATCAACCGTCTTTGCTTTGCTAAGTATGACAGGCTGATGGATGCAGACGTGCTGAATCTCCACAATTATAAATATTTAAAATAGGCACTATACCAGGGGTGGCGAACCCTGTTCCTGGAGAGCCACCTTCCTGCATATATCAGTTGCAACCCATATCAAACACACCTGCTTGTAATTATCATGTGGTGTTCAGGTCCTAATTAATTGGTACAGATGTGTTTGATATGGGTAGCAACTGAAATCTGCAGGAAGGTCACTCTCCAGGAACAGGGTTGGCCACCCCTGCACTATACTTATAAATAAACTAAATAGTTCCAATCTAAACTACAGTCTCGCCTGAAAAAGCATTAAAAGTAGATTGTTGCCCAACAGCTGCAATATTTTTCAAACTGTTGTGGGTTTATTCATCTGCTAAAACATAAGGGAGAGGAGGCTGTATGAGTGCTGTTATTACAGAAATATTGCATGGCTACCAAACAGCCAATCAGATTCGAGAAGCAGACAGAACTGTTTTGTATATATAAATTAGTTATTTATTTATTTTTAAAACAAAATTTCCAAATTAGACACAATAAAAAATTGAACATGCAACTTCTTCCAGTGGTCAGGGTTTCAAGCTAAAAAGAGATGCATTTTATATTTAATAACGCCTTTTTGGATGTTTAATCGTCACACTTTAGAATAAAAAAAAAAAAAACAATGTAAACAATCAACTTGGGAAGTGGTGAAAACTTAGTGTTTTTGTTATTAAAATGTTAAAATGGCCCTTTTTAATTATGTTTGCTATACTGTATGTTCACTCTGCCATTGTCGTGAAAACTGCTCTGTAAACTGCTTTGAATTGTGTAGTAAATGGTGCAAATTGAACCCCAAGAATGCCAAAACAGCTTATGCCAACCGTTTAAACCAGCCTTTGCATCAGGAGTGCTTATGTAGTCTAATAATGCTCCCAACAGAGGCATTTCACTTGGTTTTGGAACAGATCCAGTGTTGACATCTGCTAGGAAGAGCACTGGGAAGTGCCTACTGCCCAGAAGTGAGATCAGCTTGTTTGCTCGTCCCCTAAAGAAGACACCTCAGATCTGTCTGTAAGGTCTTAAAGGCTCTGTAACCATCCAGACAGCAGCGTATGACTCTTGACCCATCAGGATGTAGATATGATGACCACACAATGACTTTCACTTTACCAGCCCATGCTTTTCTACTTTGCTTGTAACTCTCTCTCAATGGCTGCAAGGCTTTTCCATGCTCCATTTGTAATGGGTGTTTTCACATTATATCACATAACATTTTTACATTGGGGATTGCGGTTGTGTCCGGTTACATTTCCGCTTGATTCATGAACATTTTCAGCACAATGATTATATATGCCGCCTATTGACCTTATTCATCAATGCGGAAGTGCGCTCATTTTTGGGATTGTTTTAGAACCTCCGATTCAGCTGGCTATGAGAGAAATGACTAGGAATAATAAGACCTATTACAGAAGACCTATTGGAACCGGCATGGACCCAAGATTCTCATAGAAATCAGTCAAGTTTGGTGAAGAAAAAAATCATGGTTTGGGATTACATTCAGTATGGGGGCATGCGAGAGATCTGCTGAGTGGATGGCAACATCAACAGCCTGAGGAATCTAGACATTTGTGCTGCCCATTAATTAACAAACCACAGGAGAGGGCAAATTCTCCAGCAGGATAGCGCTCCTTCTCATACTTCAGCCTCCACATCAAACTTCCTGAAAGCAAAGAAGGTCAATGTGCTCCTAGATTGGCCAGCCCAGTCACCAGCAATGAACATTATTGAGCATGTCAGGCAAGATGGAGGAGGCATTGAAGATAAACCCAAAGAACGCTTTGTTTGCCAATAGCGCTTGCTTCACCATTCCAGATGACTTTATCAATAAGTTATTTCAGTCATTGCAGAGATGTATGGATGCAGTCCTCCAAGCTCATGGGAGTCATAAACAATATTAATTCTTTTTCCACTGCACTATGACTTTATATTCTACACTGCACATTATTGCTGTTAAGTGACTTTCGTCTAAGCAAAGTCAGGCCTTGCTGTCCTAATTAAATAATTAAAAATCAAGGCATGATCATGTTTAATTTTGGACAAAATAAGTGCAATCTAGGGGCTTTTGCCTTTCATAAAAGCCACTTCTGATACCAAATGAGTAGCTAAAAGTCAAGATAATATTTGTTGTTCCTAAAACGTGGCTCGACGACAAGACTTTTGTCAGGTAGTTTATCCAGTTTTATTGGTCTTATACAGTCAGGTGATGTGATATCACAGGTTAGGTTTGACAAAGCTTGAACTTTGCAATGCAGCGAACTGCACAACTTGTCGCATGAGCTTGCGTTTCCAGTCTGTGGCATCCACGTGCATATAAATGGAAGTCTATGGGGTGAAAGTTGCAATGTGACCGCAGTTTAAAAGTAATGTCACAAGTATTTAGTATCAAATTCTGCGGAGGAGCTCCAGATGGTTACTTTTGTTTTGTGTTTACTTTACGTTTAAAGTTGTTGAACATTTATTCATTTTCATATTTATAATATAA